CACTGCACAGGCAGGTGAGGAATGAGAAGAGCTCCTAACATATTTCTATATACTGAAACCATCTACAGCTTAGAAGTTGCATCTACTGCCTGGATGAAATAAGAGAAATCCTCCTCTGGGTATGAGTACTATGCAGAATATTTCAACAGCCTGCAAGAAGAAAGCAGGAGGAGCTTCACTGCCACAGGCACATGGGCAGCATTCACTATCCACAGGGAAAACTTGAGCTCTCTCTCCAAACATGTCTTGGTCAAACAACTCAACACAGACCAGATGTGAAGTTCTTCTGCTTCTGCAGAGGCCCAGTTTAAGCTAGATTTGAAAGCTCTGCTTTTCAGAGTGTGGATACTAGTTTAGAAAATCCAGCTTCTAGGGGATGGTTCTTGTCTGGCTATCAAACACACGGGGAGCCTGCATCCACTGTCGCTTTTTTAATTCCTCCAATCCAAAATCTCTGGAGGAGATGAAAACAATAAAAAATGCAATTTCCCTGGTTGCAGAGCAGACTCCTGTATCTCAAGAGGTGCCTCCCTGGCATGGCTAACATTAGCCAGGTGAAGTCAGGCCAAGGAGACATAGAGCAGAGGAGTGGGGAGAACAGAAGGGATCAAAACCACTGGAAGAACGCTGGATGCTCAGAAGCAGTTATGGGTAGATGTGTGACCCAAGGGAGGAATCTGGTGAAAGTTTTTTTCTCAGGCCTCAAGAGCTGGAGGGGGAGTGACGAGAAGAAACACCATCATACTGACAAGAGCAACCACTAAATGTTAGGAGATGTAGTTAAGTCACTTGCTTAGTTCCAGACAAGAACAACCCCAGGGATGAGGGCAGGGCTCAGGACAGAGGCATTCTGTGTGGTGCCCTGTGGAAGGAAGCAGGAGTGAGGAGAAGAGGAGCTCATATAGCTCAAGGAGCTGAATGCTCCCAAGGAGAGCTGGGCTGCGTGGAGACTGACATGGCCACTCAAACCAAGGCTTTCCAGCAAGGAAAGCCCTGTGGATCAGCAGGAGCAGCACACAGAGCCAGGACCCATGAGCATGCCACAGAATGCTATGCACCAGGGGAAAGAACAGGCCTGTGCCAGCTCTAATTGGCCCCTAAAAAGACAAGTTATTATTTTTTATTTAATCTCTCTGTGCTTTTTTTCCCCATCTTTAAAGCATCCATTCATCTCACAGAGGTTTGGGGAAGATTAATTAACTGCTCATCAACTGCCCAGGTACAATAGCGATGAGATTGGCAGAAGTTCAAGAGGAAATTAATAATTCTGCTGCTGGAATGTGGCTTGAATAGAGCCTGGTAAATAAGGCAGAAGGGCACAGAGTGAACAATAAGAGAAAACAAAATCCTGAATATCTACTCACTAAGCGAGCAAGTCCATTCTGTGTGCAGAGGGAGAAGGGAAGCCATGGAGAACCTGGCAAGAGACCTCAAAATTAAAGCTTGGATAATAATGCAATAATAATAACTGGGGAGGCAAATTAAGGGTGCACAGGGAAACCTCACACTGCTATTTTCTAACTTTTCAGTGTTTGACTTTCAACCTTTACAATGCTCTTTCAATGCGTTTTTGAGGTGTGCAGTGTCACATAGAGGCGTGGGCACGCTTCCCTTCTCCTGTTCCAGAAGTGGAATGCTTATTCTGATTTATCCTGAAAAGTATGCACATACAGCCAGCAAAGGCTTGGAAGAATAAACAATTATGGCTGGTGCTCAAGCAAATGCATACCAGTTTTTTGTGGCTGTGCATTTGTTTCTTTTTCTAAACACAGTGCACATAACCAAAACCAGTCTTTTCTTAGGCCAAAGAAGAATATATCCAACACAGCACATACAAACTACAACCTAATTTAAAAATAAAACAAAACCTGGAGAGGGCTGGACAGTATTTTACAATTCAGCTGTTTACCAGTAAAACAAACAAACAAACAAAAAACACCCACCAAAAGAAGGCTTTCGGAAAAGCAGAAGAAGGCCAGAAGGCCCCTGCAGGTCCCTGGGATTCCCAGCCCACAGGCAATACATCTGCAAATCTGAGGGCTCCAGCTGCTCAGTCCACAGGTCTGAGCTCAAAAAAAAGTCCTGGAGCACAGCAAGAATTTTGACCCATAACCAGCCCCCAGGCTCACCTGGCAACTCACTACTGAGATCCAGGTTCCCAAGAGAACAGAAATCTCACCAACAACCAAATTTACCACCTATGTTAGTGCCTCTGTAGAGACATTGTTGATGATGTTATGTGTAGTAGATATAATTCGCGCCATTTCTAATATGATATATGTGATATTGAATATTTGTTAGAGTATACATGTTTGTATTAGGATTCCCCCCACCCTTGCAGGCGAGACTGGGTGTATTTTGGAAACTGATTTACAAGTAAGAATGTACGGCTCACCAGGAGATGGGCCATGTCTGGGGAGATACAGAAACCCCAGGTGCTGATCGAGATGGATAACATGGAAATCCTTGGGCAGATACATGTGAATCAACAAACTCCAGACACTGATTTTTTCTCCCTCATCACCAAAAAAGAAAATCTTATTAACATATGGACTCTGAATAGAAGAAAAAACTGATTGCTGAAATCTTGGCCTCAGGCGGAATTTTCCCTATTAAAACCGCTTGTACCAGAATGGAGGTGTGTGGGCATGGAGGAAAACCTCTGCTGAGGCTGACTCCTTGTTGCACACCCAGGGCCGACCCCGGGCTCGGCTCTGTTCTTTCCTCGTGGCTGGCTAGATAGAATTTGATTGCAAAATAAATATTTTATTTTTTCATATTAATTTGGCTGGACAAATTTTCATTTATAACAATGATAAAACCACATTCTTATTCATACTAACAAAAACAAATAATGAATCACACCACTAAGAGGGAATGACTTTTTGGTGAAAGACTGGGAGTGGGAAACAATAAAAAGTATAAATTGATCCAGAGTTTTATCTAAAACATTGCAATTATTGCCACTGAAATTTCTTATTTGCTCACTAAAATCACAGTTCCACATGGTGATGTCAATCATTCCAGTGTTCACCCACCCTCTGAGGGTTAGACTGCAGCAAAGAGAGGTTATGTGACTTGACAAAACCACACACAAGTCATGAGCAAAGTCTCAAGCAAATAAAGATGCTTGGCTTGAAAGAAACTCACAGACTATGCTTAGGATGACTTGTACTTCTGAAAGCTACCATGGCTGAAAGGCTGAAGATGTTATACAAGAGCACTTTGGCTGTGATTTATCCTTTTAAAACAACAATCTCCCACCTGTAAAAGGCCTCTCAAAGACTGACATTCTATGTCAAGTCCCAAACACTAGCAGGCCTTTTCCAAAGCTGTGGTTTGTAGTTGTTATAAATGAAAATTTGTCAAGCCAAATTAAAATGAAAAAATGAAATATTTATTTTTGCGATCAAATTCTATCTAGCCAGCCACGACGACAGAACGGAGCCGAGCCCGGGGTCGGCCCTGGGTGTGCAACAAAGAGGTCAGCCTCAGCAGAGGTTTTCCTCCATGCCCACACACCTCCATTCTGGTACAAGCGGTTTTTATAGGGAAAATTCCGCCTGAGGCCAAGATTTCAGCAATCAGTCTTTTCTTCTATTCAGAGTCTATATGTTAATAAGATTTTCTTTTTTTGGTGATGAGGGAGAACAAATCAGTGTCTGGAGTTTGTTGAATCCCTTGATGAAATTTACGGGAATTCAGGAACGCTGTATTCACATGTATCTGCCTGAGGATTTCCATGATATCCATCTCGGGGTTCACGCGAATGATCAGCACCTGGGGTTTCTGAATCTCCCCAGACATGGCCCATCTCCTGTCGAGCTGTACCTTCTTACTTGTAAATTAGTGTCCAATCTACACCCGGTCTCACCTATGCCTATGAGGGTGGGGGGGGAATCCTAATACAAACATGTATACTCTAACAAAAATTCAATATCACATATATCATATTAGAAATGGTGCGAATTATATCTACTACACATAACATAGCCATTTTTTAGGAGGTCTGAAGCATGCAATTAATACTGTGGAAAGTAAAAAACAGAATTGGCTCCTCTGCCATCATTAACTGCTAGACAGTTAATCACTTTCATTTGCATGAAAAAAGCAGCAGGAAGGAGGAAGTCCTACTGATGACTAGAGAATACCTCTGGGAACAGAGCCTCATGCCCTGAGAAGGCTTTGGTCCTTAAAAATTTACCTCAATTAACTGGGTTTTCACAGTAAGAGTTACGAAAAACCACTGACACATTGAGCATCTGTAGCTGCCAGCTGCATGTTGCGTTCGAATCAGGAGACATGCGATCAAAAAGTACTGCTGTGACCTTATCCTGAGGCCTTCTCACACTGAAAATGTTCACCTTCAGCCTGTAGAAGTTCACTGATAATGAAAACAGAACTGGATCATAAGGAAAACCCCATCTCTCTGCAAGCTTTCCCAGACTGACCAAGGTCTCTTCTCCTCAGTTTTTCTTCCATTGCCCCGTGCTGGTAACACAACCCTTCTTCTCCTCTTTACAAATAAGTCTGCACAGTAACACGCCAAAGAACACTTACGAGATTGTAAAAATACTTAGCATGTTGGCAAGTGCGAAGGTAAATGCACATTCAGGTATTTAACTATACAGTCAATCATGTCTGCAATTCAGACAGCAGCTCAGATCTCATAACTTAATTGCTTTAATTTCAGATTAATAGCTTGTGTTGTCACGAGCAGTTTGACATGCTGGAGAGCAGTCACAAACTACACAAGGAGCAAACAATGAAGATTTATTCCTCTGCCCACCCACACACTTTGGGCAGCTCAAAATGCCTGAGCTGACCTTTGCTGCTCTGTTTTTCATTTCAAAAATATGGGAGGAACAGCACAGGGCCCTATTAAAAACAGCAAAGCCAGAGAAATTTGTGGCAAGGTGGTGAACCTGGCATCTGATTTTGCAGTACAGCCAAGGCACAGGGTGATGCAGAAACTATAAGGAATCATTAAATGCTCTTACCTGTCCTGCAAAAAGCCCACACATCCCAATAATACAGAGGATGTTGAATACAGCCGAGCCCACAATGGTTCCAACGCCTACGTCTCCTTTTGTGATAAAAACACCTGAAAAACAAGAAGCTGTGTAAATGGGAAAGAGCTGAATTTTTTCACATAAAATTGCAGACCTTACACCTTATTAATTAATCTAAAGGCAGGTACTAGGCAAACTGCAGAGAGCTGCTTTCTGAGGGGACCTGGATGAATTCTGTGATGGAAACCAAGCACCTCAGGCACATCCAAGTTACTAACTTCCTGGTATTGTGACCTAACATTATGGCAATACACACCACAAAATACTGCAAGCTCATGGTAGCAGCTAGTGGGACACAAATCTGCAGGAAACCGTCTCCCATAAGATATTCCCTGAGCAGTACTCTGCTCCTTCCCATATACCCATCCCAACTGGCTTCAGTAGGGATGAAGCTTCAGTAGAAGCTGGAGATGATTCAGAGCTGTCTGGCCACAGCTACTCACAAGACAAGTGATACCTCTCAGGATCAGTTATGGGGCTATGCTACAAGGTTTTTTCAGAGCTCTTCTGTCAAATTTGGTTAAAATTGGCCAATGAGGTTAATGGTGAGTGAGATGAACAGACACATGCATCACGGTGCTGCACAAAATCCTTTCCTTAGAAAGTAAGCCTAAAAATAACACTCCATCTCCTGCTAGCTGTCAGTCTGTTTAAATTCACCACTTGGTTTTAAGGTTCAAACACTAATTATCTGGCCATATGTAAACTGGCCAGTGCACTTTATGTATTTTTTCCAACTTCATCCTTTTCTCAGAAACACAGAAGCACTCACCTGTCAAGTGACACACGGCACCTGGTGGGTTACACCACAGCAGGAAAATGATCCTGATGATCATCAGGGCTTCTCTAAGTCACCTGGAGGAACCTGGTTTTATTTTAACCCTGGTACTGCACTACCTTTAACCAAAGGACAATGCCAACTTGGTCCAATCTACGTTCCCAAATGATCTACATTACAAATTTGCTTGTGTCATCAGACCTCTGCAGAGCACACAGCTTTGCGTGAATTAACTCCTGCTCTGCATCTGGTAGCTATGACTGAAAGACAAGTGTCTCCTAGAGAAAGTATCTGAGCTGAGAACTAATTCTGTTCCGTGATGGAGAGCCCTCCATACCCTCCCAGCTGCTGCCCAGACAATCCCCCACCAACAGAGATGCAGGTGAGTCAGACTGCAGGAACACTTCACCCTGGTAAGGTGGTTAGGTAGAACATCAGTCTGTAACACTGCCTGCAGTCCCCCTACCCCACTGGTGTGAAGGCATCAAGAGTTTCCTGGGTTATGCACACTTAAGGATGGCTGAATATCCCTTCATCACACTTCCCATAAGCAGAGAGCTGCTTTGGAAATGTGATGCTCTGACCAACCCGTTGCTGTAAGAAAGCATTTCAAATCCTCTTCTCCTCCCCACTGTGGCTTTTCCAGGGAAAAGCGGTGTTGGAAGACTAACCAGACGGGAGGTGATGGCAAAGAACTTGGCCCTGAGGACATGAACAGTGTGCCAGGGTATCAGAGAGGAAAATCTGGGGGAAATCCTTTACCACTGTGCCCTGGAACTGACGTGGCAGATGGGGCAGGAAAGTGGACAGGAGAGGATAATGCCATAGGTGAAGCCTGCCTAATGGGCAGCTATGGTAAAGTGCCCACTGGACCTGGCTTGGCAGGGTCACATCCAGGCCCTGCTGTGAGATAATGGTACTCCCAGAGTCACTTCACCCGGCGAGGACTCCCCACCGTCAGTGCCATGTGTGCCCAGAAGGGATTACAACAAAACTTGCAGGCATGCAGCAATCCCATTTCAGCTCTGAAAACAGCCAGGGAAATGTGCAGATTTTGGGAAGCAGCAGCAGGCTCCTTACCTATGACAGATGTGAACAGCTCGGGAGCAGAGCTTCCTGCTGCCATGAAAGTTGCCCCAGCCACATCTTCGCTGAGATGCAAGCGCTGCAGAGAAATGCAGTCACTGATTACCACACTGAGCAGCTGAAGGAATTCAACTCTCAACGTTAAACTGCCTGCTGAGAGCAGGTACCTGTAAAACTTTGTGTAAACAAAGCTTAAGTATAGGGGAAAAGCCACCACAGGCACTGGCTACTGAAGTGAGCATCACCTGACAGAGAGGGCAGGTCATGCTAGTGAAACTTTTAGAGAGGAGGGAAAGATCACCACACCAGCCAACAGGGAAGGTAGCTTCACAACTCATGGGTCTGTCTGCTCCACAACCTCAGCACCATACACCTTATCTTTACCACTTTCGCCTGTAAAGGGCAAGGCTAGGGCTCAAGCTTCATTCACCTCCAGCCATGTTCCCTGGTACAAGTTATGCCTTGCTTTACCCTCTCCTTACCCTCTTTCTCCTGGACCATATCACTTACCTCAGTTTACCCTCGCCCTACCCCTTTTCTCCTGGACTACATCACTTACCTGCCCCTCAGCAGTATCCAGGGACAATCTAAAACCAGGGGCTTCTGGAAGGGAAAGGACCCACTGTTCTATGAAAACTTAATCAGCATATACTGCTTCCAAAGATTTCCTTGGTTAATGACACCCTCTGTTGTCTGCACTCCCACTGTTCCGCCTGCACCAGTTCCCATGGACCCAGCACCCATCTGCATCTGCTCAGCAGATGCCACAAGGCACCTTCCCCTGTTGAAGAGGAGCAATATCCAGCTCCTGCCATATGGCTGCCAAGCTGTTACTACACCATAGCAAGAGCTGCTGCTGTGGGAGCACAGGAAAGGCAGCCAGGAGCATAGGGAAGGCAGGTCAGGGTGGTGGGAAGTGTCCTTGGCAGAGCTGGCTTTTGAGGCAGCCCTCCAGCCTGGCAGGACACAGGAAACCTCCCTCTGTCTCCATTCCCCTGCAGCACTGCACTGCTCCTCTGCTGTTTCATCCTTGCCCAAGTACCTTTGCGCAGAGACAAGAGAGCAGAAATCCTCATAAGCAGCCTTTTCTAAAGATTCCACAATGGGTATTCCTTGCCCTTAAGGGAGGGTAACTCTATCCACTGCCCATACAGACATAACAACCCCTTGTACATAAGTTATGGGGACAAGGAAAAAGGACAGGATGTCCCCTCACCAGGAGTGCCTTTGAAGTGGAAGACCACAGCATTGCTGGAGTGCTATAAAGCTTGTGGAACCCAATAAAATACAGCTTTATGGAAAACAATTTTAAACAGGATTAAAACTATCATGAAAGAAGTTCACAGGACCACAAGCAGACCCCCAAAGGCCAGGTTCTTCTGCAGGATGCTCTGTGAAACTATGGAGACATCCATCCTACAATACCTGCTGGAACTCATGGTGCCTCTTGAAAGCAAAGCCACCAGCCAAGGAAACCAGATGTAATGACTTCTGGGGGGGTGGTTTAATTCAAAGCTACAGTGTGTGCCCTTAAGGACAGTTTCTAGAGAATTCACTGAAATGCACGGGATGATTAAGCTGATACAGCAGAGCAGAAAACAGCACTCTGTATAGACAGAAAAAATGTATTTGCAGACAAATTTTTACCACTGATATAGTGTCAACTGCCTGGAGTGGGGCAGCCAGGCAAGTGCATGCAGAAACTGCTTTAGAAAACAAAATAAAATCAGGGTTTTTTTGTAAGTAAGTCTGAACTAACACAGGAAGTTAAAGTCTACCATAGCAAGTGTTCTGGAGCAAATTCCCATGTCAACACACATTTGGGAGCACAAATGGCTTGTTGGTTCAACTCAACAACTGCTTCCCAAACTAGATGAAGCTAAGCCAGAAAAAGGACATTTGTTTTAGAATTAGAGCATCTAAGCTCTGTGAAGATGTAGAACAACTACTGGCAGATCTTCAAGGCCAAAAAAATCTTCAGGCAGGAGGCCTGAATTCTTGGTGCATAAAATACATAAGAATATTTTAATGTCTCCAAACATCACCTATGGGGTGAGAAAAGACACTTCTGGGAGAGAATCAAGCAGGAGTAATAGAACAGTAAAAGTCTGATCTATTTATGTGACCCATTTTGATAATCCCTAATGCACAGCATCTTTTTCCTGGACAGCAACTTCTCAATACAAGTACTCCAGATCTGGTGCTCAGTTGCTAAGCTTTCTCTTTTACACATAGTTGAGTAAAAATTGTTATTGTCATCTTATTGGTGGTGCTGGATAATAGAATGATTCAGAACCACTAAGGCAATGAGGAATTGTTGTGTACCATTAAGAAGATAACAAATAAAAAACCAGAAAAGATCTAAACAAGCAAAAACTGCCTTCTAGGGCACAGGGCGTGCAAATACTGCAGTAAATCACACATAGAGGGTGTTTGCTTTTTAGACATCAGATGTCTGCACAAACCTAAGCATATCTGAGAATTTGTCAGAAGAACAAATGGCATTGTAGGGCTGGCACTTGCTAGACCAACTTCTGGAGAAGGTGGAGGCACACAGATCCTGCATGTGCGGAGAGTTAGTGACCATAAAAGAGCCCCTAGCTTGTGACAATGAAGTTTACCACCAGTGAAGTTGCAAACTGGTAACACCACACACAGTGTTTCCTACTGTCATTTGTAAACACAGTCAAGGATCAACTTTTGTACTGAGCAGTGCAGGAAACGGAGGCACAGGGAAGCGATGGAGCTTGTCTATGGCCAGGCAGAGCCCCTGGCAGAACTACAACAGGAGCCAGTACTCCACAGACCCAGATCAGGCCTCTGGGCCATGAGTGGGGCTCAATTACTCATGGGCAGTAATTAACGAGTGTGCAGACAAGAGAAATAATAATCTCCCTCCATCTTGTGTCTCCCCATGTCCCTCTGCATGGCTGGCTTGCCCTTGGGCATATTAACAGCACCCCAAAATGCAAGCCTGTCCTGGACACTGCTTACATAGCTCACATTTTGTTCATCCACAGACACCTGAACTAGCTTAGAGCCACATTTCCCAGTGAGGTTCACTTGTCTGGGAGAGAAGAGATCAAAGAACTCAGTGTGTCTACATTCCCCAACATCTCTTATCCCCATGTCCACACCAATGTTCCCTCCCTTGAACCTTGCATTGGGGTTCCAGATTCAGCCCCTGAGGGTGCAGCAGCAACTTTGCAGGACAGAAGCTCCTGCCTTATGTTGTTACCTTTTAATTACCTCTATATTTAAGCACCAAAAAGTGGAATTTCCTGAGGGCTTTCTTCCTTGATGATGCAAAAAACATCCGCACAGCAGGGTGCTGAATTTCAAATATCAGGTTAGTTTAGAGACAGCTTACATCAGTGCTGTCAGCACAAATTACTTGTCCTGTCAGATTCCACACCTCTCCAGAACAGCCCACACCCTGACAGGTGACACTTGTTCCCAGGCACATGGACAGGTGTCTTCTACAAATGACATAGATCTCTCATTGCCAAGACAAACCATATTCTCCACACATGAAGATTTCACTGCATGGAACTGAATGGAAACAGCTTGCAGTAATTTTGGGCACATGGTCTGTGTTCGCTCTGTGCCTGTCTGAGATATTTAGGCGAAAATGTACCCCTTGTCTTCTAAAATTTAGGCATCCTGACCTTACCAAAGAGAAGTAGAATCTGTTGTAATTGCTGGAAGCATTCACAAACTTCTTTACAGCTGACCTAGTTGTCCCTGCTGCTTTAAAACTTACACCCACACAATACAAGGTCTGACACTCATGACTGTGAGGACAGGGTACAAGATCCAGTTTCTACTGGGGTAAATTACCAGAGGTATTAATTTGTGTCACCTAAGGTTAGGGCGTGGTGTTTCTGCAGAGACATCTGCAAAGACACATAAACAAGAGGCAACAGCAACCACCACAGTGTGAATGCCTGGATCATGTCTGCAAGGAAGAACACAGAGTTGAGTCAATGCTCACACATCATGCTGAGCAACAAGACAAGCAGCACAGGCAACACTGCAGGACAACAATAAAATACACCATCACCACACCCCCCAAGGCTCTCCAGAACTGCTGTGAAAGCAGCACAAGAGGAAGGAACATCTAACACTTACTTCACAGATCTTTTCCAGTGAAGGGACGAAGAAGTCATCGCAGACAATTGCCAATGCGTAGAACATGTACACAGCCTGCAATAGAGAAGAGAAAAGGCTGAGTCTAGAGACTGTCACACAGAACTGAACAGGCAGCATCCCAACACATCTCAGGTTTGATTTTGTACAGACTTTTCAAGAAAATAAAATGTTCTTGCTAGAAGAACTCATAGAGCTGTCTGGGATTTAATTAAAAAATTGTGGAGTATTTATCCAAAAGTTCTTATAAACTATCAAAAGCTGCAAACATTTTATCTTCACCATAAAGGCTAGCTTTTTTTTTTTTTTTTTTTTTTTAATTCTCTGGACATTGCTAAGCCACACTGAAGTATTTTTGCCTTCCTTTTTTCCCAATTGGGCACTGCAAGGCTTTTTTATCACTGTGTTCTGTGAAAATCTAAACCCTGGAGGAGTAATTTTTGAAATCTACTGTTCTGAAAAATGGAAAAGGAGCTTGTTTTCCTGGACTGAAGTGCCCTGCCATGTCACCTGCGTCCCAGTGGTAAATCTTGCTGAACTTCTCATAGGAACAAATAAAACCAAGGAGGAACACAGGGCTCTAAATTACACTGAGCCAATCAGTTCTTCAATTTCATGCAAGAAGCATTTAATCTGGGTTTCTGTACTATTAAACAGAATGTGCTGGGGCCTGATCTCTGCCCCAAGAGGCAAATGGCACAGTGTGGCTCACATCCACGCAGCAAAGCCATGAAGGGCAACCTGGCCCATCCTGCCCACGGGGAAGGAGCTCACTCCCCACCTTGACACAAAAGACTGCCACTGGATGGGAAAATGCCCATTGGCATAGGGGAAAACCAGGGGGAAAGCATGCCAGGCACCAGCAGAGCACAGCCCCCCAGCCAGGCTGAGTCTGCCTCCAAGCCCACTCCGGTTTTCTGGCATGGACATATCCAAGACTTGCTGTAAGGTTCAAAGACAGCTCCACGTTTTTGGTAACACCTACCAACCACCAGCACAGTTACTTCTAGAAGCAGTGCAGCTCCAGTGACTAACTACAGCTGAGAGAGGTGGCCAATATTTGTAGAAAAACAGTGTATTAATCACAGGGAACCACAGTTCCAAGCACATCACCAACAGATCCTCTGGCTTTGCTTGTTGTTGAAGTCCTGCAGAAGCTCAGGCAGTGCAAGGAGATCAGAGTATTCTTTTCTGGAGAGAAAGCAGCAATAAAAACGGCCTCCAGGTTTTTTTTTTTCTTGTTTTGATTTTCCAGGAACAGGTTTAAATCCCCAGCCCCGCCAAAAACACAGATTCTAATTTGCCAGAATTAAAACTTTGCTGCAAAAACATCAGTAATTACTGTACATCTCAGCCATGGAAACTTTTCAAGCTCAAAAATAATTCAAGTGTATTTTTTTTCAGGATTAGAGATGGGAATTTCATCATAAGAAATGATTTTGACACAATCTTGACACAATAGATCCTAGAATGTCACTTGGATAGTTTCTGTGCTTCTTTGTCCCTCATCATAAACACAAGTGTAACTTAGGCTTTTTGAAAATCTTGCTGCAAAACAGCCCCTGTCGGAACTCAAAATGTCCCTCAGACATTTTCAGAGGTTCCAGGCCTTGGTCAAAAGCATTTTAGACCCTGGCAAGCAGCTGAAAACAGCTGTGATCTTGAGTTTGAACCATGGAATGAATTACCAACTTTGAAGGTGGAACAAGCGGTCACAGAGAGTTAGATGGTATAGTAAAAGTAGTCACAAATTAGAGGGAAAAATTTTTTAGTATTGTACAAGGGGGTTTTAGTACCTGTACAGGGGGGTTTTACTTTGTACATGGGGGTCAGGAGTTCTAAGATGGAGGAAAGTGGGCCTGATCCTTTTCTTCCTCCTTCTTCTTCCTTACCTCCATGTTCTTGGTGATGTTAGCATTTTTCTATTGGTTTAGGCTGGGGACACACTGTTCAACGTAGATGGTAGATATTGGCACATTATTGTAAATATAGTACACGTAGTTTCTGGTATATAATGTTTGTACCATCCCACTGAGGGGCAGAGCCCCCACGCTGCCCTGCAGGACAGACCTGCGGCAGGGCAGCAGAACATGTTAGAGATAAGCAAAAATAAACAACCTTGAAAACAGCACAGACGAATTATGGCTTCTTCTTTGGCAACGGGGCAGAAAGACAGAGACTTTCTACAATCTCGGAATCACCAATACCCTCAGATTCCGACAAGCCCCAAGGACCACAAAGGGCAAGCAAAATTCTAGGTCTCCGACTCTGCTGGGTGCAGCAAAGAACCTGATCTTGCAAAGGGAGCACCAGCTGCTGACACAATACCAACTGCATGAACAGAGGTAAAGGAAGATAGGAACATGGATCAAAAAGGGCTCCAGAGAGCAATGTGGCCAAATTCCTTTGAAATACAATGGATAGTGGTGCCTAACTTCAGCCTAGATATTTGATCTGCTACTCATATTAGTCTGCAGTGAGTCACGCCCTCGCTGTTCTGTCCAAACAGAGTAATGCCTCTCAAGAAGGCTAATCTGTCCATCAGCACCATTCCTGTAAAGTGAATATGTCCTGTCCATTTGACACGATCCACGCCCATGGAGCACAGGGCTCCACATGGCTGCTGGACTTCCTGCACTTCCAAGAGGCAGGCAAGGGAATGGGAGCCAAGGGGAGGTAGCCACCACAGCAGCCCATGCCCCAGAGCCCAGGCAGCTCACCCCAGATCCTTCACATGTAGCACACATGCACTGCACTGCACTGTAGGTGTCCACAGATGATGCCAAGCTCCACAGGGCTCGCCAGAGGCACCAGGGGCAAGGCACCCACCAATTTTTCAGTTTAGACAATTCCTTCTCTGGATTTTTATATGCACATTCAAATGATCCCAGGGGAGGGCTTGTGTCGCTTCTAGTGCATGCAAGATTGACAAAGCATCTCCACGTCCCAGCATTAAAGTGGAATCTCATGGTGTCCAGGATTTTGGAGGGCACAACAACAACCTTCAAAGGTGACAAGGGAATTTTCTTTTGTCTGACCATGCTTTCTCATTAGTAGGATCAGGTACAAAATGAAATGCAAAAAAGGCACTGAAATGAGTAAGGAACAGAAAAGTAAATGTGAAGGAACTGTCCCCCCAGGCTCTTGCTCATCCACCCCAGGAGTGGGGACTGGCCTCCTGCTGCAGAAGCTGGAAACATGAAGCCAAACTTGCTGCACTCCTCAGGATGAGTGCTAGCATCAGGCTGACAGCACTGACCAGGCTAAACCCATATGACCTGTACACTCCAGCATTCACTTTAATGACCTCATTTCTGTCACAAAACTGTTTTGGCTACGAGTCTTCCCTAAGTTCATTCAAGTGGCTTGAGTGCAATAAAGTGTAAAGTGTCAGAATCAAAGGAGTATCTGGCTAAACCCCAGCCTTGTTCACAGACTAAATCACTGGAAGCTACCTACAGTCAGTGAACACACGAGGACAGTAACTGTTACTTCCTTGGAAGTTCTTCAGGCTTTTTGATGGGGCTTGTTTGTTTGTTTTTAAACAAACAAAACAAAGCAATGTTTAGAGTTTTGGCCATCAGGAACACAAGCAGGAGGGGGCTTTTTTATGCAAGAGGAAGGAAGGCAGGAGCATCAGGGAGGCCAGTCTGCATGGCATGTACCGTGAGGAGAGGGCCAACAGCATAGCTGAGACCCCCAGCATGATGAAGTGGTATCATCTTCCATCATTTCACTAAAGAGTCACATGGATTTTTCCTTCAGCACATGGCATCCTGTCTTCACAGGCACCATGGATACAGCAGCTCTGGAAAGGAACAGGGCAACACGGACTGAAGGCTGTTCCACCTGAAACTGCCACTGGGAATTAAGAAAGTGGTCGGGGGACAAGGAATATGGCCTGTACAATGGCAGCAGAGTACAATGTGGAGGACTCAACACATAAATAAGGCTCAGCTCCAGCTTCACTCAGTTGTTTTAAGCTCCAAGTGATGATATGGGAATCTTTAACTAGGCAACACACTTTAAAAAACTCACTCACTCCTCCTCCCACAAAGGACATTAAAAAATTAGGAAAATGCAATGGCCCTGCATAAAAGGATTATAAATGCCAGATTAAATACCACATTAGGACTGATTTTAAAATGACGGATTCTAACAAAGATGCATTCTCTGCATCACAGGTGATTAAGTTTTTTACTCAAAATACCTGTTCCACTGTACAGGACAGAAATGGTAATTTTTCATGCTTGTCCAGCAGTCCTTTGAGCTTTCCATGACTGTCTCCACACTCAAACTCAAACTTATTCACAAGAGTGCATAATGCCGTAGAAGCAACAATCCTTACAGCCCTGCCTTCTTCCCAGGGGGCTGTGAAAAGCTGAGGTTATTGGTGGCAGCAACAGCAGGGGGGCCTGCTGCTGCCCCACAGACCCCTGCCCTGGGGGGGCAAGGGTCTACCCTGAAACCACGTTAACCAAGCTCAGGGGTTTTCTCAACTCTGACTGCATTACAAGCCCACCTAAAATTCCACTGTTGGAGGGAAATTAAAAAACCCCAACCAAAGTAGGAAGCCACAGAGCCCAGGTTGACTCCAGCTAGCAGCCTGTGTACCATGATATGCCCAGCAGTGCTCCCACAGATGGCCAGGGCACTGGAGAAATCAACCCCCAAAGGAGACTGCCCTGTACTGCAGAAATGAGATGTGCCTGGGTATTGACCTGATGCAGAAATAGATAGTGACAGGACCCATCCAGGGTGACCTACATTTCCCAAAGGCCTCGCAGGAGGAAGGCAGGTGCCTGTTAGAGCCCCCATTCCCATGGCTATGGGAAGCAGTGGCAAGCCAGGAGTAGAAGGGATGGCTTAGCACAAACACTGCTACTCCCCCTGCTCAGTATTGAGGGCCCAGCTCTGCCCAGGGACAGGCTCAGCTCTGACCATGCATGGGCTCCTCGTGCTAGCAACCCTGGTATCAATACCATACCCTGGTATTGCACTCCAGATCTGCTGGAGAAGGCTGGGAAAAGAAGAAACAACACTGTGCTATCAAAAACACCGGGCAATGCACAGACTCAAATCCCCCATTCTCAGCTGCTAGCCAAAACCTTGGGTATTGCTCAGCAAAGCCATTTCCGTCCTGTCTTGAGGGGGTAAATGGTGCCAGTGCCCCTGAGCAGGGCAGGGCTGAAGATCTGCATGGGATGTCAGCTGGAACAAAATGAAAACTAGGAAAAGGCAAAGAGAGCAACTACACAGCCTTTCCAGTACCCAAAGGGACTGCAGGAGAGCTGGAGAAGGACTTTGACAAGGGCTTGGAGTGACAAGGAGGAATGGCTTCATGCTGACAGAGGGCAGGGTAGATTGGGTATTAGGAAGACATTCTTTCCTGTGGGGGTGCTGAGGCCCTGGCACCGGTTGCCCAGAAAAGCTGTGGCTGCCCCTGGATGCCCAGAAGTGTCCAAGGCCAGGTTGGACGAAGCTTGGAGTAACCTGGGATAGTGGAAGGTTACTCCAAGGTTCAACTCCCCATAGCCAGGGAATTGAAACTGAATAATGCGTAAGATACCTTCCAATCCAACCCTATGATTCTGCAAACAATAATGTTAAGATTGCAAAAAGAAGCTCTTGGGTGCTGGGGAGCTCCCAGGCTGCAGAAACGGCACCAGACTTAAAATCCAGACCCCAGCCCCTCCAAACTAAACATCTCAAACCAGTGACTTAGTGGGTAGCTAGTCAGCAGCTCAGCCTCTTCTCAGAGGGGACATGGAAATAATGAATGGCAGTGAAGCAGTCAGCTGCTGAGCTCTGAAAAAGTATCCAGGAGAAATTAAACACCATGACTCCTCCCTGTAATATGCCTTCAGTGACCCACTTCTCCTTCAAAGAAGTATGATATTTTCAGTTCAGACCTAAAACTATTGCTGACCTGCCCAGTTTTCCCTAGATTTTTGTAGTGTTTAGGGATTAACTTTCATCTTTGTGAAGCATCAGATAATGTTTAGTAATTCACAGAGCCCCACTGTGAAGATCCATGGGGTCTTTTTTCCCCTTTTTATTAAACAATACGGAGAAGATGCCCTGGGAAGCCTCTTCCTATTCCCCAAGGTCCTAGTGATAGCTTTTGGCCTCTTCCTCTGGCTTCTAGTAAACCATCTTTGTCTTGATGTCTTTTAGAATTAAACATGAAAGTATGGGCAAGTGGGCAGAGAACAGAGAATAACGTTTTTACTTAAATGAATAGAAACTGTTTAAGAGGAGGTTACTAACATGAGAAGCATGGTGATGACCTCTAATCATCGCTGCATTTTTCTCCCTACCGTTATAGAGCCCCTTTTACATTCCAGTTTCCTCAAACACATTAAGAAAACTCAGTAGAGGCAAAAACCTCTGTGTCTGAATCCTCTTTCCCCCAGAAAAGTGCATTTCTGCTTCTGCTCTGATTTCATCATACGTTTATATTTCTGGGAGGTAAAAAAAAGGACTGAAGGTTCATTACCCCAGTACAAAGAGCACCCCTTCCAACTCAGACTAGAGGCAGCTCGCTAAATGCTAACAGTTTTCTGTTTTCTCTGAGTATAATTTTTTCTTTGACAAAGGGCTGTCTCCAGCTATCCCAGTACTAGAGAGGCTGAATTCCAGCTAAGTCCTGCACCTCAGGGACCACAAGACAAAGAGTGGTCAGTAAATTTCCTAAGTCCACAAAACTGCTATAGAAAGCAATGGAGCACCCATGGAACAATGGAACAAAGGAGCTGCCTTGCTGTTTGCTAGCAGGAAAGAAACTGATTACATTTCTGCTGGGACAGTGGATGCTTTTCTACTTCTCATTAAAAATAGATTTTTCTTTTTATTCTGAACTAGGCAGTTCAGTCCTGTACCTTTGTTTTGGTACATGTTAAAGGCACATTCAGCTCATTCAGAACTGAATTAATATATCAATTTTTAGGAGTATTCTTGTCAGTGATATAAAATCCAGCTCGGGTTCAGTGCTCAGTCTACAAAACATTTCAAAGCTCAATGTTCCCATGGAAACTTGAGATTCTTGAACTTGCCAAGCACAGACAATAGCAATATTACTCAACAAATTTCTGCAGCTACTTACCCAAAATAAAAGTCTTACACAGAGGGCTCACATTGCAATACACAATACAATCTAATTTATACTCAAAAAAAAATCATGAATCACTTCTCACAGCTAATGGTGACTGCTCGTTTAAGCTGACTAAAAATTGTTAAAAGCTTCTAAACATTCATTAGCAGCAGGTATTTTCTTGGTTGCTTAAGAATGCCTCTAACATAACTCATAGAGCTGATAAAGCAACTTTCCAATCCATGTAATGCAATGGTTATTTCTATATCAATTATTCTATTCCATTGTCCTGGGGTGCTGTTATGATGCTTGTATTCCCAGTCATGTGTTCTGTTTATGCTGGATATTATATTCAGTGCCTTCAAGAGAGCGAAGGCAGGGAGAAGCAGCATGGAGTTATCAGCCTGCACTCACTCCTCCACTGTCTGCTGGAACACAGAACTCCACTGTGTTATCTGGGCATGGACAGGGCAGAACAGAGCGCTCCTTTGCTTTTTAGTTAGTTTAGCTAGCTGAGGCAGAGTTTTCCCTGGACTGTTTTTTTGCTTTCCCTTTTCTTGGAACTGTTTGAAACTGCTCCAGACCAGAACCCAGGGAGCACTGAGCATCTGCACTTTGTGACCTACTCTGGACAGCAGTCTTTCCCAGTGCCAGAGGGACTGATATGATAACAGAGCAACCAGCCACAGGAGAGACTTTCTGAATTTGTTGTCTCTTCAGAGCAGCAAATTAGTTTTGTCGTCTGCTATTGGTCATTTTTTGTGCTGGGAAGTGCTTTGCCTGTTTAAATAAACAGGGTTTTTTTTCCACTTCTCTCTGAATAAATTTTTCCCAAACCAGTTAGGGGGAGGGGCCATGTGGGTTGGCTTTCTGGGGGGGCCCCTTTTGGAGGTTTTCTCCCAGATTTGCCCTAAACCAGCTCATAAACTTCAGAGTGTTCCAGAGTTGCTTCTTGCAGAATTCTTGAATCTTTTAGCTCTCTGACATTTAGTTTTCATCTTAAAGATGCCAAACTGTCCCATTTTCAGAGAAAACTTTCTCTTTCCTATGGCCTGACATTCTAATGGTGTCTACGGAAAAAAATGAAAACAGGAAGCAAGTTTAAACCATCCTTCCACTCCTTTTTATCAGAACAAAAAAAGAAATTATCACATCCCTGACTTCACAGTCCATACAGGAGATGAAAATGCACTCAAGATAAAGTAACTTCAATCAGAGCTCTTGAGCACACCAGGCCCTGTCCATGCCAGTAGGAGAAGAAAGGCAAAGTCACGACACTTACACAGAGGATGTGCAGGACGACAGCTCCATGTCTCCTGTCCTCATTCGTGAAGATGTCATTGGGGAATTCATGGAGAGCTGCAAAAAGTGGGGAGGGGAGAAAGAAAGCTCAGATGTTTAATCAGCTCCTCACACCCATCCCACATGCTGTTCAGTAACAAAGCGAGAGGCTGCCCAACCCAACCTTGCAGCCACCTGCCAGAGGCTCTGCCTCACCTTCCTGTGGCTCAGCTTACCTTGTCCTCAGGCACCACCTTTACTAAAAGTTTACTGTGCCATTTCCTTCTGTGGCCAGCACCACCCTGTGACCCACACATGCCCAAGCAGGGACAGACACCCGCCTAGGGCACAGCATAGCTCCTTCCTTGAGGGAAGCAGTCAGAACTGTCCAGAGCAGGTGCAGTATCTCCTGGAGGAGTCAGCAGCTCTATTCCCACTGTCCAACAATCCACAGAACCATCGAGAGGAGCACATCACGCACTTTACAGCCTTTGCTGCAAATGCACTGTTGCAAGTCACTGAAAGACAAATTCCCTCCATTTGCTCAAATGTCTTATTACTGCTCTGGATGTTAATTGGATTATAAAGCTCTTAAGAACAGCCTTCCAGTTGGCTTTGGGTTATAAATCAAAAAGCCAGTGTGAAGACAACGCTCTAGCATTCAAGTGCTTCTCAGTAATTCCAGATTTTGAAACAACAGCTTTCTTCTAATGGTCAGTTCTTCACATTCAGCCATCAGCTGGAAAAAATCAAACTGCCTTTCACATCTTTAGCATTAATAAAGCTCTAGCAATAGGGACTTAATTAGCAATTGCACAGAAGATTAAAGGGAAAAACAATCCGGCTCACTCTCCTAGTTTTGCTGCCTCTGAAGCAATAACTGAGCAAAAGGAAACTGCATTTTAATTTTGTTCCTCATGCAAGCAACAGCTCTACCCAGGCACTGCATCAGAGGGGGAAACCACTCTTTTTTACATACAGTCTTTTACCCAAAGGCTCACGTTATTACTGTTAATTGTATTCCTGTGGATTGGTAAATTCGATAAGGAGTCCTAAAAAACTAGCAGGAGCTACTGGAGCAGTACAGACAGCATCTTTAAAATATCCGTAATGGAGGAACACAGCAATACCCTTCTCCTTTATGAGAACCAGTGATGTCTGTGACTTCTTATCACCAGTCAGAACTCACCCACCAGGAGCTGTGACTATTTCCAGGAGCTGTGACTACTTCCTTCTGAGGCAGAACTAGTCCTGCCAGGCTGCCTACCCCTCCCACCTCAGCACATCTGCCGTGTTAGAGGTGCCAAAGGTTGCCAGAAACACCCTTAGGTGTACAGCCTAGGGAAGTAGTCAGGGAGGTACCAGCACAAGGACAGGAGCAGGAAAACTCCAAAAAGTACATTACAAAATGTAATGAACAAAAGAGCCTTCCTGGTTCCCATGGCAATACTGGGACACTGCTGGCTCTAGCTGAGTATTGATATTGAAATGTTAATTAGCTAATTGCTCTGTTTGTTTTCTCTAAACTACCTGGAGATCACCTGCCCCCCCTCCCCCTCCCACCCACACGGCCATTCTAGGACTACGATGCAAATAGAGGAACCCGTGGAACCATGGAAGCGTGTTTTGGGGGATAAGATACCCCTAAATGGAGAACTAAACACAGTAGAGGAGGCTGGACAAGTGCGCTGGCTGAGGAAGAGGGAAACACATCCCCTGACTGACGTCTGACCTGTCACCATAACCTACAGAAGACTAGACCAGAGTGGGCTGTGGAAAGCAGGAACAAAGAGGCAGATTTTCCTGGTGTTACCGCGAGGAAAGGAGAGGGGACAGCTGCTGCTCGGGACTTCAGCAACAGACTCTACATGCCTCTTCTTCCTTCAGCTACCTGGGAAAGGCTACAAGAGCAGGGGTGAGCTCTGTGTCGGGCCCCCTGCCCAGCTGATCTTTTTAATAAAGAGTTGAACATTAATGAAGGCATAAGCCCTGTTCATTTCACAATACACTGTGGAAGCTGAGAGACAATGAAAGTAATCACTGGAAAGGATTCATCCTTCCTCAGCAAAACATCATTATGTGAAAATCCAATGTTTCCCTCAAAGCTTTAAGAAACATGCCTGACCATTCCCCATTCCACAAGCGAAGGAAACATGGGGAGGTCTGCCTGCAGCAATATGCAAAATGGTTTGCTAATATATGTGTGTGTGCTTCCCCTCCTCCTGCAGCTGCCTCTGAGATTTTACATTCATTACAGACAGATGATAAAAATACAATCCCTTTATGAAGAGTCTCTGGGAGGTTCAAGGAGCCTGAAGCACACCTAAAGTAAAGGCACATGGGGAAAAAATAGTACAAAAATAGCATAAGTTGTCTGTAGTGTCAGCAGCTGGGAATCCTGGCCTTCCTTCCTGCACATAGCAGAAATGCCCAGTGCTCCCTCAGGTTTAGGTTCCCACCCCACATTGGCAGGAAATATACCTGCTTTTCAGAGAAAATCCAAGATGTCCATCAGCACATCCTCCACAACATCATCCGAACACAAACACATTTAGTGGGTTACATTGGAAACATGCAGTTATAAACTAATGTATGTAAATTTGATATCTGCTGCATTTTTATTAGCTGCATCAGGTGCAGATGAGTATAGATAAGATGAGAGCTTTGCAAAAAACATGAGCTCCTTTCTAGGAAGAAATAAAGTGTGCTGCTGGAACACCACTCCAACAACAGCTGCCCTATTTAGTGAATTATAAAAGCTCAGACAGTTTGTTATTTCGCTAAAAGAATCTCCAGCCTTTGTCAGAAAATAGGTGCACATTTTGCCACGTTTATTTTGATCACACAGAAAAAAACCCAACCACCCTCCCAATGAACCTAAACTGAAAGAATAAAAGACTTCTGCCTAATAATCCACTCTGGTCCTGCAGACTTTGCAGGTATCAGCCTGGAGCAGCGGAAGGGCAGGATCTTCACAGAGCTTAGCAACTCCCCAGTTACCTCCTGCATTGTGGGTATTAGGCACAATTCCAGGAGCAGCCCAGCCCCCAGTGCATTCTCAGGGGGTTCCAGGCCTTGGACATACACAACTCAGCCTCAGTTTTCAGATCCTGAGGGTCACATTCCCAGAAAATGGAGGGCTGACGCCTGCAGCTCAACACAACACTCCTTCCAGGGGTGCAGTTCTACTTTGCACTGGGGCAACTTGTAGAACTATGAATGAATAGAAAGATTATTCGCATTCGGAAGTAACTGGAATTAGATGGCCATTAGGAAGGTATGGATTGGCCTTGGAAAGGGACCTAAATATTGCAGGAACAAATGAGCATTATGTGTAAGAAGCTGTGCTCTTTTGCACTTGACTCCAGGTGTTCTGACAAGTAGTGGCTGCTGTGCAGCACAGGGAGCCCACACCTTTTGGAGATACCATCAAAAGGGTATGGCCAGATTCAGAGGAAAAGTCTGGATTGACACACAAGATAAAATTATTTTAGTCATAATACAGTAAGCTGGAATTAATTCTTGTCCTGTTCTTCACAATTAGTATGCAATTCTGTAAAATTTGAACGCTATTCTGCCCTGGCCATGGGTGACTTACAAAAAGGTTCTGCATCGGCTGGCACAACACAAACCTGTCTCTGCCCAGGCCAGGTGTGCACGGAGGGTGCTGCTGTACCACTCCTCAGGGGGTGGCACTTTTCACAACCCTCTTCCCAGCTCCTCCTTTCCCTCTCACATTTTAATGTTCCCACCTTTCCAAAAGGATTACTTTTCAAAAATTCCAGCACTGCACTGAATCAATAGTTCTAAATGCTGTGACATCCAGTTATTTTTTAAAGTCTTTATGTTGCTAGCCAGTGTATGTACTCTGGGGACAAGAAAACCCTTGGGAAAATCTCCCATGACTTTAAGAGATGAAAGATGTTCAGCCTGGCCAGTGAGTTACCAGCACAGAAAACTCACAAATTTATCTTGGTTCATTTTCTCATGCTGTCCCCACAATTCTTTCTCTGTGAATTCTGTTGTTGTCACCTATGAGGGACAGATATTAGTGGAGCGGACCTTGTGATGTAAACCCAGACAACGTCTTTTGCATCCATGCTGATAGCTTTTTACACAGGGAAACAAAAGTAAACTTTAAAGCAATTTGTTGCCTTTCTCCCTGCACACTTAGAATCATTATTTTAAACTCAAGCTTGAGATTGCTGCTGGGTTCAGGGTAAACAACAATATCACATTCAGCACCTGCTGCAGACTGTTTCACCCAGCTCCCTGACCTCCAGCAGCTCCCCTGAACAGCACCAGCTCTGCTCCCAGCTGTCTGTCCCTCACAGGGAGCAGGGACCAGCCAGGGTGAACCTGCAAGTGCAGGAGGTGAGAGGGGTCAGGAACTGCTGGATCTGTACAGCATCAGAGTTCAGACTGCCTGGAGACCAGCTCAGGCACACACAGCCCACCACACCCTGCTCCCAGGGGGAACTACGTTAAATCACATGGCACAGGCAAGGGACTGTGAGAATCTTAAGCTGCCTTTAAAATCAGTGAGATCAGTCTAATTGTCTCTGAAGGGAAGGATTATATATACCTTTAAATATATATATATATACACCTTTATATTTATGTATATATATATATATATACACCTTTATATATACATATACATATATACCTTTATATATATATATTACTGTCTACTAAGTAAAAATGGTGTTTGCATTGCAGTGGCATGAGCTAAAATGCAAAGAGAGCCAAACTATGGTGATACATCAATAAAAAACATTTTGCTAATGTTTCACTCCTGTGTCAACTGCTGCAAACCAGCAGCTGAAGCAGCGTGGGGCACAGAACCCGCCGTAAATCATGCAGCATGCCCAGAGGCACCATCCCACACCTTGCACTGGCTTTTCCAGGCTCTGTGCCTGGCCCCTGGGAGCAGCACCTGGGGGGACAATCATCCAACAGAGGTGGCAGCAAGAGGCAAAGTGGTGGAAGCACCCCTGCTGAAGCTACTGATGCTGGCGAGGTACCTGTTCACAGGTGCCTCTTGGTGGGATGAGCCAGACAGAGTAGGTGTGGTG